CATAATCCAATGGAAGTGGGGTTGGAAGTTCTTGGCCATTTGTTTGTGTCTATGAATATCTGACTTGTTAAACTATCACACACAAAGCAAGATACATCGAAGTAGGTCACTCCATTCCCACAAGATGGTTTGTGTTAATTATAACAACAGGATGAAACAGAGAATGGAACGTTCTACCATTTTTATATCTTACAGTATGACATGAGAAATACATCTTTCTACTTTGTTATATTGCCGTATGAGATTGGAGGAGACTTGACTTTCAATGCATCAAATGAGAAAGGTCAAGCTGTAAATGAATGTTATCACTGTCAATTGTCTTTGCAGTCACTCCAGGGAGAGAAATAGTGGCTCAATTTGGACCACAGTGCTTGACTGTGAATGCACCTCTTTTTTGTTTGCCTCTTGTATATTAGGATTACATGGGGTAAAAAATCTGTGCTCCCATTTTTAAAAGAGTTCAACAGCAAAGGAGAGAAATCTTGCAATCAGAAGCTTAAAGAATGTGCAAGAAATAGATGTTGGTTACTTAAGATTATCTTGAGTAGAAATAAAAGAGCCTCAGGGAAAAGATATTTCTGATTTATTCTGTCTCAGCATCCTGAACTTTGATTTACTCTGGTATAATAAAGACATATAAAGAGAATGAAAAGATAAGCCACGAACTGGGAAAACTATTTCAAAAGACATATCTGATAAAGGACAGTTATTCAAAATGTTCAAAGCAGTCTTAAAGCTCAACAGTAAGAAAATGAACAATCCAACTTTAAAAATGTGCAAAAGATCTGAATTGACACCTCACCAAAGATAATATACAGATAGCAAATAAACATACGAAAAAATGCTCAACTTCATACACCATTAGGGACTTGCAAGTTAAAATAAGGAGATAACAACAGCGCCTACTAGAATGGTGAAAATCCAAGAGGCAGACAACACCAAATGTTGGCAAGGATGTAGAACAACAGGAATTATTCATCGCTGTTGGAAACACAAAATGGTACAGTCACTTTGGAAGACAGTTTGACAGTTTCTTACAAAACTAAATACACTCTTACCATATGATCTGCAATCACATTCCTTGGTATTTACCCAAATGAATAAAAAATGTATGTCTACATAAAAACCTGCGTATGAATGTTTGTAGCAGCTTTTTTCATAGTTGCCAAAACTTGGAAGCAACCAAGATGTCACTCAATAGGTGAATGGATAAATAAATTACGGTATATCTAGAAAATAAAATATTATTCAACAGTAAAAAGAAATGAGCTATCAAATCATGAAAAGACACAGAGAAACCTTAAATGCATATGGCTAAGTTAAAGAAGCCAATCTGAAAAGGTTACATACTGTATGATTCCAACTATATGACATTCAGGAAAAGGCAAAACTAGGGCAACAGTAAAAATTTCTGTGGTTTCCAAGGGTTAGGTGAGAGGAAGGGATGAGCAAGGAAAGCACAGGGGATTTCTAGGGCAGTGAAACTATTCTGTTTGATACCATAATGGTGGATACATGTCATTACACATTTGTCCCATCCCACAGAATACCAATGGGATGGTAAACAGTGGGACTTCTCAGCCTCCATACCCATATGCGCTGATTCCTCATTATATTCATATATATATGTGCATATGTATGAATGGGTTGAGACTCAACCCATATATTCATGTGTGTGTGTGTGTGTGTGTGTGTGTGTGTGTGTATATATATATATATATATATGCATACATACATCTGGAGAACCGGAGAACCCCAGCTAATTCAGACAGTACCTGCCACATAGTGGATCTTTGATAAATTATTTTGGGGCACCTGAGTGGCTGAGTTGGTCAAGTGTCTGCCTTCTGTTTGGGTCATATCCTAGAGTCCTGGGATCCAACAAGAAGTCTGCTTCTCCCCACCTCCAACACTGCCTCTACCCCCTGCTTGTGCTTTTTCTCTCAAATAAATAAATACAATCTTTTTTTAAATTACATTTTTAAAATATTTTCTATTTTTATAAGGGAAAAATGGAAATTTCTTTGATGTTTGAAACTTGCGTTACTTTACTATTGTTATTTTGTGTGTTTGTTAACCAACTGCATTTTTTTTCTTTATGAATTTCATATTTTTTCACTTACCTATTAGACCCTTTATTTCAATGAACTCATTATAATTGTAATGTGTTAATAAAATTTTTGTGATTTTTGTTCCTAAAATAGATGTCATCAAATAAAGGCAACCACTGGCAAAATAAATCTTTGTAATTGCGGAAAGAAAAGTACAAGCAGGAGTATTAGTTCAAATACTGAATAATGCCATCTAGTGGAAAATTAATTTTAACTTCTTTCTCTGAATCAGATATACCCAAATATCAAGGCCCCAAATTTGGTATTTACGGGACTTCATTAAAATATGTATTCTAGCCTCTAATCTGCCCCGGGATCTCTAACTCTAATGTGTATGATAGCTAACAGCATTGTGTTAGTATTATGCACATTGTATTAGTATTATGCACACCGTAAAAATTCCGTGTCTGTTAAAATTAAGGCCCAGTGGTACACTGTGCACTTTTTTTTTTAATTTTTAAAATAGATTTTATTTATTTATTAGAGATCACAAGTAGGCAGAGAGGCAGGGAGGGGTGGGGGGAAGCAGGCTCCCCACTGAGCAGAGAGCCTGATGCAGGGGTCAATCCCAGGACCCTAGGATCATGACCTGAGCTGAAGGCAGAGGCTTTAACCCACTGAGCCACCCAGGTGCCCCTATATTCTAACCCCAATTTTCACCAATTTCACCACAATAAGTCATTTTGCAGCTGCTAGCATTTTTCAACATGTAATCTATGCCAGCCCCCTGTGCTAACTGCTTCCCTTGTATTATTTTATTTAATCCTTTCAACAACTTTCGTAAGGTAGGTATTATTACTGTGATATCTTACAGATGACAAGATTGGGGCAGAGAGTTTAAGTACTGTCTCCAACATCACACAGCTGTACCTAAGCCCATACATGATTATAATGTGCACAGGGCTCTGTGATGGAATAGCTCATGGTCATGTCAATAGCAAAAAAGGACTAATGATGTTACAGTTCATTTCTGACATCTACATTCAGCTTAGCATACCGCATTCAGAAATGAATTATATTCCTTCATTACTAAGGACTACTTAAGGACATTTTGTAACTTAATATTTACATGATTTGGACTAATATATCACACAGTCAGATGTTCCTAACTATTGGTTATTGATTTTTGGTTTTATAAATTTGAAGACGTTTTCAATGCTTTGCTGTTACTCTCCGTTTCCCCCAAATACTAACATAAGTGAAAGTAAACTGACCTGCTTTGAACCTTCTAGGTAGAGGCAAACTGGAACTAATTTATTTATAACTGTTTAGAAAACCCAGGTGATAGGGATCTGTCAGCCAGGCTAGCCAAATTAAGGCTAATGAAACTGGTCTCAAGCATAGGTGTCTGCCTCTACCCCCCAAAGGCTAAGACACTAGGCCTGCCCAGCCTGGCCTGGGTCCACTCAGTGCTGGCAGAAGTCAAACTCTGCTCCCCCAAAGCTCGCTGAAACATAGTTAGATTTTATCTCTTATAACCAACTCCTTCTGTAGGGCCCAAAGTATCAACTAACTACAACTGAAAAATTAATTCCTCCTACTGCCTTCCTAGGAAATAATGTGAAAGTAAACATAGGAACTTTACAATAGTTCATCTTGAGGCTACATCCCTGAAAAGTGCCTGATGCTGAAGTCTTCTGAACATTAGTGAACAAAGAGCATCAAATAATGTAGTGCACTTCTAAACATAGAGTAAACTCTAAAGATTTCTCACTTTATTTTCAGATTACTGAGTGGAAATATCTGCAAATATCATCTTGTATCCGTATTTCTGTGTCCCTCACTCCCACCCCTATCTCCCAAAAGCCCAAAGTGTAAAAACGATAAAGTCCAAGGAAACAAAAAAGGTTCAAGTCCATATTCAGCAAAACAAAGGGGAAAAAAATTGATGACTATCAAAGAATCTGCTACCATACTGTACTGGAAAGAACAGAGGAAATAAAAATAACAATAGAGAACATTAACTGAGCATTAATTTGTCCCAAGCATTTTTTTAAAATGTTCTTTGCATGCATGATCCCGTTTTAATCCCCACAAGGAGGAGATTTCAAGAGGTAAATGCCATTATCTTACTACACAGGTAAAGAAACAGTAGTTAAGTCATTTGCTGGAGTCGCATAGCTAGTAAAACATGCACCAGAGCCCAAATCTACCACACTGTAACAAAGATCAAACCCGTGATCATTTCCTTAGAGCGCCAGAGGCAAACTTGGGGCGAAAAATCCTTTAAATGGATTTCCCATTCAACTAATGGACATCTGCCCAATTACACAGTTACTTAGAGAACTTGCTGTCTGCAAGGTCATTTATGAACTGGTTTAGCTTTATTATGCGGTTGAAGTCACAGTAAGTCCCACAGGGTAAGAATCTGGACATCGTGGAGCTTAAGAGGCCTGTGGTATTCTTTCCAGGTTCTAAAGTTTTAATTTAATAAGAAAAGGGGCGGGGAGACAAACGAGGTTACGGGAGCTTTGGTAAACAAATCAATGCTTTTAACATACCCAGTGTGACAATGGTTGAAACCTCATTTTGGAGATAACCACGTAGGTGCAAGGTTAACCTTGTGACTTTGAGGTCCGGCCACTGGCTTCCTGGCACCCCTGCGAGAAGCCCTGGTGTAAGCTCAAAATACCCCAATTTAAGCATCGGTTTTGTTTTTAATTCGTAAATGCGGTGGCACAGTCCCTAGGGTCCTCCGGATGCCCGCCACGGCCATAACTATGGAGTGGTGCCGTGGGAAAAGCAGTCGGTCAGGAGCGCCCCCGGAACCAAAGCGCTAGCTCCTGCCGGCCGCGGGACTGCGTTTGCGCAGCACCGGGGGCGGAGGCTGGCCGGCGGTGGGGCTGGCTGCGCGGGCTCCGGCTGAAGGGGTCCGGGCTGGCCGAGGGCGCCGCGCGGTGCAGTGTGTCGGCGGCCGCCTGCCGGACCATGCTGAGCGGAGCGTGCGGCTGGCTCTCCTCAGCGCTGCGGGGTCCACGCGTGCCGCCGTTCGCGGTCGCCCGTAGGTGCCTTCACGCGTCGGGGTCACGGCGGTCCGCGGACAAGAGCGAGAGGACCGGGGACCCGCCCCGCGCCTTCGACCCAGCGCTGCTCGAGTTCCTGGTGTGCCCGCTCTCCAAGAAGCCGCTCAGGTGAGATTCGCCGGCTGCGGGTTTGCGTTCGCGCCCTCTGGGGGCCCGGGCCGAGGCGGAGGCGGAGGCGGAGGCGGAGGCGGGGGCGGGGGCGGGGGCGGGGGCGGGGGTGGGGGCGGGTGGGCCGCGCGGCAGCCTTAAGGGCCTCTGGGCAGCCCTTCGTTTTCCGCTGCCATTTTCTGGCTCCGGGCGGACCAACTACCACGCATTTCCCAACTGCGGTGGGAAGGGCAGGAGGAGACCGGAGGGGAGCCGAGCCCCAGGCCTCCCACATCAAGCCGCCCACCCGCAGGGACGGGTCTGGGCGTTTACAGGTTCACCACTGGCCGCGCCGTGGAATCGCCAGGGAACTTTTTTTTAATGCCGATTCCCGGGCACCACCCCAGGGCGACCCAGTCCGCGGGTCTGGGGGCGGAACTAGAGCAAGGAGGTTTTTTTAGAAGCCCCGCGGCGGCTCGGTTGTACCGCCAGGTTTATGAACTGTTGGTCCAAGGCGTATGAAAATGTACAGCCGATGCCTGACGACCTTAAACGTTTACGTTCTGTGTGCTGCCCCTTTTGGCTCTCAGTTTTGGACTAACTGGGTTTTGTAAAGGCTTCCTTGAACCAAGAGCCGGGAAAAACAGCTCTGGGAGGGGAAAATGAAACAAGAGAAAATCTGAGAGGGAGACAAACATAAGAGACTCTTAATCATAGGAAACAAAGAGTTGCTTGGGGACCTGAGGGGGGTATGGGGTAACTGGGTGATGGGCATTAAGAAGGGCACATGATGTAATGAGCCCTGGGTGTTATATGCAAGTGATGAATCACTGAACTCTACCTCTGAAACTGATAATACGTAATAACGTTAATTAATTGAATTTAAAATTTTAAAAAAGCTCTACAGTTCCAGGCTACTAAAACTGAAGGCTGACAACATGGTATCTATCAGTGGTTATTTTTGGGTGGTGGATTGCTAGTCATTTTTTATTTTCAGTATTTTTGCATTTCTCTTAGATTATTTTCTGTAATGAATACACTCACTCTTTTCTTACACCTTGAAATGATCATTTGATCTGCCTCTCAGTTAATTGTGTAACTAGCTCACTGCAGGCCTGTTGTTTTCTAAAGTTTCCTCATTTCTGTCTCATCGTCCTCAAATTTTTATTTTGTGTATCTCGATTTTTCAGTGGTTTCTTTCTAATGGCTCAGTGTTGCTCTATTAAACAAACATGTATTCTAAAGCGGCGAGGTTGAGTTTTTCTCTAGTGGCTGTTTGAGTAGTAAATGAACTGGGATGGTTTTGAGGTTGTCAGATTAAGAAAGGAATATTTGGATGAAAAGGGGAGATTTTTTCTGACTGGATTTTAAAAATACATACTAAAGTATAGCTTGAGAATAAAGTAGAAAATATGAGAGAAACGGAGTAAAATGGGAACAATTAGAGATTGATTTTCCAAGAGAAAGGTTTCAATTGGGTAATACTGCTTTTAGAATTAGAAGCAGTTTAATTCTGCTTTTTGTAATTAACAGTCTGTCAAGAATTAGGTAAATGATGGTGTTTGAACACCAAGCTCTTCCAAGCATTTTGTTTTCACAGTTCATTTTGTTTTCCTTTTCTCCCCTCAGATACGAAGCATCGACGAACGAATTGATTAATGAAGAGTTGGGAATAGCCTATCCAATTATTGATGGGATCCCTAATATGATACCGCAGGCAGCTAGGATGACACATCAAAGTAAGAAGCAAGAAGAAATGGAGCAGCACTAGATCATAATTTTTTAAAAAGCAGCACAGCTAAACTTTCTTAATACCACTTACCTTTTTAAAAGTCAGAGTGGCAGGTAGTAAGTGGGGGAGAAGAATGTTTCTGTCTCTTCCTACGTTGACTGTTCTTATACCGTTGGTCTCTCTAGCGGGACTGTTCTACTCAGCCTCCGTGGAAGAAAACTTCCCACAGGGCTGCACTAGCACAGCCAGCCTGTGCTTTTACAGTCTGCTCCTGCCCATTACCATACCTGTTTATGTGTTCTTCCACCTTTGGACTTGGATGGGTATTAAACTCTTCAGGCATAATTAATATAGCCAGAGCCAAGATGATACATATATTAATGATACATCATGAGTGTCTATCTCGGAAAGCTCAGCTACATGGAAATACTGGAAACCCACTTAAATTGCAGGAAAGGTGCTTTGCCTTGCTTCTCTCAGAGGTTTAGGACCATGGGAGGCTTAAGCTGTAGGAGTTTCTTTTATATTTTTGTTCTGCCCTTGTTTTTTGAAAATTCTAATGTATAACTACTGTATCAGAAGAAACACTTCAACACAGTTTTTTGGAAATTAACAGTCTTAACCATCACCTGATGACTTTCTTACCCCATTCATCTAAAAATAATTAAAATTTTATGTTTATTTTAGATTCAAAGTATTTGGCAGAGTCACATGTTAAGGATGACTGAAATAATTCCAACAGTTGTGTTGGAGCAATTGTAGAGAAATGTATTTGAGCTAGTGTGCTAGAAAACTACAATAAAATGGAAATTTCGTGTACTTGCGAACATTCTGAGTTTGTAAAATTACCTTCGTTTCTTTGGCATCAAATCCTTAAATTAGTAATAATAAAATGAGATGACACTATACCATTTAAAAAAAAAAAGTGTGTTTTTGTTTGGTCACAAATGTGTGGTTTCAAAAGAGGGGAAATGTAAAAAATATTCTAAAGTTTAAAATGTAGGCAATGTTTAAACAGGCATTTAATACCCCACATAGAATACTTTCCCAGAAAAATACGTATATTTGAGGATAGAGGTAGGGTTGGAGGACTTGTAAAGAGCTTTTGTGTCCTATTGAGCTAAGAGCTGTGTTTTAAATCACATTTCAGTTGAACTTTTTCCTGCCTTAGGAGACCTGTTAGGCAGTGCATTGTTTCAGTGTATTCTGTAGTACAAATCACGTTTTGAAAATCACTCTGATACTCAACACCAAGAAAAGAGGACCTGAACAGACATTTTTCCAAAGAAGACCTACAGGTGGCCAACAAGACACATGAAAAGATGCTCAGCATCACTCATCATCAAAGAAATGAAAATCAAAACCACAATGAGATACACATTATACCTGTCAGAATGGCTAAAATAAATGAGAAATAGTGTTGGCAAGGATGTGTAGAAAAAGGAACCCTTGTGCACTGTTGATGGGGATGTAGATTGGTGCAGCCACTGTGGAACAGTATCGAGGTTCCTCCAAAAATCAGAAATACTAAATTATCCAGTAATTCTAATACCGGCTATTTACCCAAAGAAAACAAATACTAATCTTAAAAAATACATGCACCCCTATGTTTACTGCGGCATTATTTACAGTACCAAGATACGGAAGCAATCTAAGTTCAGTGGATCAATGGATGGAGAAGATGTGGCTGGCATATCAGGCTGGAGGGAAGAGGGCTTGGGAGACAAGTTGATCAAAGGTAAAGCCATTTTGGTTTTAGGTTGACCCTTACCCTAAAACTCAGCAGGAAAAGTGACAGGCTGGACATTCCTAAAATTGTTCCCTGTGAGTAATCCCACAATCCTAAAACAATGGAAAAACTAATTGCCTAATGTGAATGAGAAACCCAAAGTTAAAGTGTAAGCCCCTCCCCGTATGGTTACCTAATTTAAGGAAAATATATAGGGGGGCCTGGGTGGCTCAGTCAGTTGAGCAGCCTGCTCTTGATTTCAGCTCAGGTCATATCTCAGGAGCTGGCCAATGAGCCCTGCCTTGGGCTTCTTGCTCAGTGGGGAGTCTGCTTGAGGACGCTTTGTCTCCCTCTCCCTCTCCCTCTGCTCCCGCCCCCCGTTCTCTCCCTCTCCCAAATAAAATCTTAAAATAATTTATAGAAACCAATAGAGGCAAGGGAGAATCCTCTTCCTCTCCTGGGGAAGACAGCTACTTTGTCTATGAAGTAGCTCCTTTCTTGTATACTTAATCTTTTCCCCTTTCTCTAAATGGCTTGCTCTTGAATTCTTCCTTGTACAAAGCCAAAAACCCTCTTGGAAAGGGGCCTGAGGCCTTCTTGGGGCCTCAGCCTGTCCGGCATCATATATACAATGGTATATTACTCCTATGTAATAAAAGAATGAGATCTTGACATTGGTGACAACATGGGTTGACCTTGAGGGTATTAATGCTGAGTGAAATACATCAGACAAAGAACAAATACCATATGATTTCACTTACATGTGGAACCTAAAAACCAAAAATAGATGCAAATACAGAAAACAAACTGATGGTTGCCCAGAAGGGAAGGGTAGGGGGAATGGGCAAAAAGTTGAAGGGAAATGGGAAGTACAAGCTTCCAGTTACGGAATAAAGTCATTGAAATAAAAGGTACATAGGGAATGTAGCCAATGGTATCATAATAGCATTTAAAGTGACAGATGGTAGCTAGATTTGTGGTGAGCTTAGCACAGTGTAGAAAGTTGTCCAATCTCCGTGTACATCTGAAACCAATGTAACATTGTGTGCCAACTATACTTAAATCACTGCATGGCAAAATACAAATAATCTGGACAAATATAGAAGTTCCTATCACTTCCTGAAAGGGAATTATTGCTTTTTTGTTTTCAGATTTACTTATTTTATAGAGAGAGGGGGGTGATCAGGGGGAGGGACAGAGAATCTCAAGCAAATTACCTGCTGAGTACGGAGTCCGATGATGAGATCGGGCTCCATCTCACCCTGAGATCGTGACCTGAGCCAAAACCAAAAGTCGGACCTCAACACTCAACAAACTGACCCACCCAGGTGGCCCCTAAAGCTTTTAATTCTTTAAGTTATCTATACACCCAATGAGGGACTCGAACTCACAACCCTGAGATCAGGAGTCACAAGCTCCACCAACTGAGCCAGCGAGATGCCCCTTGTTCTTTTTTAATTTATCCTAAATCTCACTGTGGTCAGTGTAAATGAAATGATTTTGCTGACAAAACAAGCACTATAAAAAGTCAATTTCAACTTTTGCAAGCAAAGCATTTTATCATTTTTGAGGAAACTGATAAGGATACTCTGGGGGAGTTCAGCATTAATGCCATCCTTTCACTAATAGAATTTATTTGACAATCACTTGTAGAGTACAAATGGTACACTAACTCCAGTGCTAAGCATATTTCATATAATCTTCTAGAACCTAAGAGGTCAGGTGGGCCATACTGGCAGTATACAGTATACAGATGCAGAAGCTGAAACACAGAGCAACTGAAATGATTTACCCAGGGCAACAGCAAGAACCATACCAAGGCTTAAACTGTCAGCAGCCAGGGCTTCAGTCTGCCTTCCTAACCACACTGCACAATACCTCATTTTAAGAAGACTCATCCTTTCTATTTATAAGAAAAGCAAAATTAGGAATCAAAATGGTTGGATTCAAATTCCTGCTCAAGTCTGATGCCTTTCTTCTTGTTTCCTAAAGCACCATATATTTTATCTCTATTTTAGCACTTGAACTTGTACTGTAATTGCCTGCTTTCTGTCTCCTGTCTAGACAGTAAACTGTTCAACATTTTTAATTTAATGCTTAGCACGGAGCAGGCACATACTTCCTGAGAGCCTGAAAGCATGGTTCTAACAAGGTTTAGAACTTTAGGCAAGTTACTTGTCTCTGAGCTTCATCTGTAGGTTTAGAAATCCTCCTGCTTGTTTCCTAAAATTGTGAGGACAAGCTAAATTTGACACGTGAAAGCCCTTTGTCAAACAACCCTAACTGGTGAACAAAACCACCATTCAGAGTCTCTGGAAATTGTCCCAAGGGCATACAGCCAAATGAGGAAACATACAAGAAAATCTAAAACTCAGTAAATGCTGCACATTGAAGTTTGTGCCCTCTGAACCATTACCCACATCTTTCTTCCTCCTCTCAGCTCAAACCGTTTCACTCCGGGAGGGTGCCGCCAAGACCCGGAGCTCTCTTCCCTCAACTCCTAGTCTAGTAGAACTTTATGGCATCTTCCCTGGAGGGGCAGGCCACCAGCAGAGTAAAGATAATTATGTAACTATAAAAGACAGTGTAAATGTATATTTCCTTTCTACTTAACTGATCTGTAGAGCAATTTGTAGAAAACAATATATATAAATTGTATTTTGGGGTCTCTACCATATTTGCCATTAGCAGCACAAAGGAAGTAGATGGGAGCAAAGCTGAACTGGAGTGAAGAAATGACACCAGATGGTAACCTGAATTCACAGGAACTAATGAAAAGAACCAGAAAAGGTAAACAAAGTTAATAGAACTAATACTACAAATACATCTGTGTTCTCCTTCTCATAATTTAATGAAGAGGCATTAAATTATATAAAGTATTAATTATAACCAAGTATTGTTGAGATTGTAACATGTAGACATAATACACAAGGCAATAATAGCACAAAAAGGAAAAGAGCTACCTAAATGTAATGTTTCTGTATTTCACTAGCACTCTTTTTTTTTTTTTAAAGACTTATTTGAGAGAGAGGGATGCCTGGGTGGCTCAGTTGGTTAAGCATCTGCCTTCGGCTCAGGTCATGATCCCAGGGTCCTGGGATCAAGTCCCACATCAGGCTCCTTGCTTGGAGGGGAGGTTGCTTCTCCTGCCTGCCATTCGCCCTGCATGTGCTCTCTCTCTCTGACAAGTAAATAAATGAAATCTTAAAAAAAAAAAAAAAAAATTTGAGAGTGAGAGATGCACATGTGCAAGCATGGGGCGGGGAGAGGGAGAGAAATCCTCAAGCAGACTCCCCATTGAGCTCGGGAGCCTGACGTGGGGCTCAATCCCATTATCCTGAGATCATGACCTGAGTCGAAATCAAGAACCAGATGCTTAACTATCTGAGCCACCCACCAGCGGCCCTCACCAACACTCTTAAGAACAGATCTGTTAAGTCAATTATATTTCAATTAAAAAACACAGTAGCAAAAAAAAAAAAAGCAAATCTGCAGATTTTAAGTATTTCTCAAGCTCTCATATGCTGCTGCTGAGAATATAAAAATGATTCAGCTTCTTTGGAAAACAGTTGGCAGTCCCTCAAAATGTTAAACACAGATTTTACCATACAGCATCATTTCATACAAATGTTTCACACAAATATTCGTAGCAGCGTCATTCATAAAGCCAAAACATGGAAAATAACACAACTATCCCTCAGCTGATGAATGGATATGTAAAATGTGGTATAAACATAATGAGACATTATTTAGCAATAATATGGAATAAAGTACTGATAAATTCTACAATGTGGATGAACTTTGAAAACATGCTAAATGAAAGAAACCAGTTTTTAAAAATAGTATATTGTTTGATCTCATTTACATGAAATGTCCATAACAGACAAATCTGTGGAAACAGAAAGTTTATTAGAGAATGCATATGGCTGGGACATCATGGAGTTACAGCTAATGGGTACAATGGGGGGGGGTTCTAAAATTGTGGCAATGGTTGCACACTTCTGCAAATATACTAAATCCATTCAGTTGTATTTATTAGATAAATACAAATGTATGTATTAGATAGCTAATTCTATCCTATGTGAGTAATATACCAATAAAGCTGTTATCAAATTAAAAAAAATAATATCTAAATGTCTAATGACGGGGATTCTCCTTCACTAGCTTCCCATAACATAGTTCAT